TTCTGACAGTCTTGTATGAAATATAATAATATCTGTATATAGATATAATACTCTCTACTTCTTTGAAGAAGAAAATTAATAGTTATAGAGAGATTAAGTATCACAGATATTAAAAATATAAGTATAAGTTTTCTTTATTTTTTCTTTATTAATCTCTAAATTGTGTTCACAGCTCTGTTTTTATTTTCTTTATTTTTTAACTTTTAATAAAAATATAATTTCTTCTTTTCTTTATATATACTGTAGACTGTTTATCTTAGTAGAAACTTATTATCTTTATAGACTAGAATTTATAAATAACAGTGTTAATATCTTTATTATAATTAGATTCTTAGTGAAGATTATATTATTCTAACTTGTAATGAGCTGCGCCTGATCAATTATATAGACTATTCCGTTACACTTCACAGATTTCAACCACTTCATTCTCAAACATGTATGCTCCGATTCTCGGCCATTCTCAATCACTGATCCTCAGCCATCACAAACACATATAGATTCTTCCGCTCTGAAACTTCACTGCATACACTATCATATACATGTATAAATATTCACTTCAATCACTGATTCTCACACTTTCTCTTTCTTTCCTTCTCGAACATTTTTCTCTTTATTATATAAGACCTATCAATATTATATCAATCTATTCAGCATAGACCTCTTACACTAGAAAAATGTTTATTATCTTCTTATTTGAAAACAATTATTCACACATTATCTTCTTATCAGAAATAATTATTTATCAAGAGATATCTGAACATGTAATAACATGTAAGAAATAGAGAAACAGTCAAACAGTTAAGTGAACACTGAGTTCTCAGATAGAAGCTTGCTTATCAGTCACTCTGACTCTGCAATAAGATCTTACAAAGAGAATATCAGTGAAAGACTTGAGAGTTCTGACACTCAGATATATGAGATATTTATATAATTACACTTCTTCAAGATTTCACAGATATCATACACTCAATGAATGACATATCTAACAACAATATAAGAGAACTCTTAAACATGAGTATAGAAGTAATATCACAGTGACTCTGAGCAATATTGAAATTGCAACAGTAATAAATAGCTGATATGCATGCAACTTAATAATGCTAATATGAAGAGATTCAACAATTATTACAACAAGAAACTCAGACAATTTCAACATCTACAGAATCAAATATAAAAGCACTGAAAGAATGCTTAGATACTTCTGCATATTTCAATACTTCTGATCTCACTCTCTACTCATCATGAAGGATGAAAATGCTCATGAAACTGAGTGTGAATAGAGATGTCATCAGTTCACTAATCAATCAAGATTGATATATCAATGAACAATTGAAGAATCATACAAAACAGAAGTTTCATTCATGAATAAAGATATACAAATCAGTGTTGCAAATATCTGATAATATTATCAAACATCTCAATATTCTGTTCTGAGACACTGTCATATAACAGAAAGTGTTAGATTGATTACAGAGCATCTGACAGAGAAACACTTCTCTTACAACATTTATTCCTGACTTTGACATCGAGATTCTAGAAGTAGGTGATTAATCTTGAGAGAATCAAATGAAGATTAGCATGCTCAAGAAGACATTAACTTTCAAACTCTTACAGACTCTTGTAAGCATAGACAAAGATCAGACTTATAAAGGTTTCTGCACACAGCTTCAGACATTGAATGATTATCTTATCAAGCTCAAAAGTATACAGAACAGTGACAGAAGACATTATACTCACACACCTGCACTGAGAAATAACTCAGTCACTCACACACCTGTGCTGAAGAATAACAAAGATGCAGATGTCATGAATTGAGTAGACTCAAATATCTACACATAAGCAAGAGTTTCTGCTATTTAAACAGGCTTTCAAGTTTCTGAGATCAGTCCTGAAGAAGTCACTGATTGATGTCAATGTGAAGTATACATCAACTGTAACTAATCAGAACACATCACTTTCAACTGTTGATTGACCTATATGCCTTCTCAATCAAGAGAAAGATCAGTCTTATCTTGTTCAAAGAATGAATCAACACCTGTCTGCATCAATCACATTACAGTGAAGAAAGATTCAGAAGATAACTATAAGAATGTCTCAGTGAAACAGGAAAAAGATTAGCTTCTGTTTAAATTTGCAAACAGAAGCTTGAAGAGGTCAGATGACAATAATTTGAAGAGAAAATGATAATAAATACAATTCTTGTATCTACTGTGATTAATAACATGTATAATATGAAAGTCATAGTAGACAGCAGTCTATATCACTATACAATGATTAAATCTTCAGTTGTAAGACATCATAACCTTCAGCATATTCTCTTATCAAAACCCTGACTTTTTGCAGAATTTGATAATTAAAAAGATGTTTGCATCTGTTACATGAGAAAACTAAACATAGATGTCAGAGAACATTAGTGTGAAGACATCTATGCATATAAAGTTAATAATCTTGATTATAATCTTATGTTAGAACTTGTCTGACTATCTGAACAAGACATCTTGTTGAATGCTTAAAACAGGAGTTTAATATTCTCTAACAATGATAGAGTTCATAAGGATGATATTTACAAGACTATGAACCTGAC